GAAACATTGTGTAAAAAGGCAAAGCTCTTAGTGTTAGTGGCAAAAAAAAACTGAGGTTAACACGTTGACCACCCCTGGGTTCTGTCCGCTCAATTGGGCGTTCCATTTTTATCAAAGCTGATACGGAAGTCAAATGTGTTTTTGTTGATTTCTTCTTTTAAGTGGCGGTAAACTTTAAGAGCAATAGAATTAAAACATTTTTTTTAAATGTAATATCCTAAGATTTTAGAATAAAATTATCAAAATGTAGATAATTAAAATAAATTATAAAATAACTAGGACACTTTAGCTTCATAGCACAAAATGAATAGAGGGTGTGTGCATTGAGTAGGGGAGGGGTAGGTCTAAAATTTTATTTCCCAGTATGCCTGATGCTCTAAGTCTCTACAAATAAAGTTAAAAGGTTGACATGTTACATCCCTCCCCCAAGTCCCCTACTCTTACTTTCTGATAATATTAAAACTGCAATCTTTAGTTAGTGGTCGGTTGGTAGAGCATCCGACTGCAAACCCAAAAGTCTCGAGTTCGTATTCGGTAGAACTTCCCAGAGTCCAGCTAACTCTGATGTGTATCTTACTCATGTTAGGATGTTAGGAAGAGTAAAGACAACTTAGCACTATGCTGATCACAGTATCACTTCATATGACTAGGTCGCAGAAACAGGTCAACTCTACTGCATCTGCCTGATGGACCTCTAGGTTCGAAATGGTTACTATTTTTCGTAATTAACAAAAATATTTGTCTCAAGAAAGCTAATAGTTATAATAATAAGGTATTTGATAACTTAGACTTCTAAAAAGTCTTCTTACTCCTACTCCTACCTAAAGAAAGAATATTTTCTACATCAGTGGTTCTCAACCTTTTTGGAGGTACCGGAACCGAACCCCACTTGTTTCATATGCGCTTTCACAGAACCCTTCTTAATAGTTCTATCGGCTTCACCAACAAAATCCGATCGTAAATCATATAAGTCGGGTTGGGTGTGTTGCTTGATCTCCGTCGAACCCCTGTGGTTTGATCGAACCCTGGTTAAGAACCACTGTTCTAGACTAAACTTTAACTGCTCTGTTTTGATAATCACTGTGCCGGGCATGGTCCCTTGTAACTGTTATCAGAGTTTATCCCAGGCATCTCTTCGGGGGGGGGGGGGGGGGGGGGGGGGGGGGGGGGCTTTGTCCCCCCCCCCCCCCGAATTTTTTTTACCGCCCCCCCCCCCCCGAAATGAAATTTATATAATTTATATAGAAAATATATACTTTTAACAGTGTCCGCCCCCCCCCCCCAAAGAAAGTCTACCGCCCCCCCCCCCCCCCCCCGAAAATTTCAAGTGCCCCCCCCCCCCCCCCCCGGAGAAAAAAAGTCTGGAAGAAACACTGAGTGTTATGTCGCTGTTAATGGTTTCGTTGTTTGTTTGCTTGTTTGTTTGTTTTATTTCGGTTGCCTGGACACCTTAAAGACGGTGTCAAACTTGGCCTCAGCAAACACCCCACCCCCACACACACACCGCCACCATTACTTTCCAATTAAATGTGCTGATGAAAAGTAAGTAAACGCGGAAGAAGATAAATTGTAAACAACCTTTAACCTCCATCCGACTGCTAAACAGGGTAGCTGATACGTCTCAGCTTTGTCGCCGTTTAAAATAGCTTGTGATGGGGGAAGGATCAAGTCCTTAATTTATTTCACTACGGTGTCAAAAAATTTAAATATTTAGATCTTCTAAATTGTTATTCGAAATTTTTTTTTAAACATAAAACAAAAATTAACACCCCGTCCACGTTTAAAAAAAAAATTTGCATGAAATTATCTAGTGAAATGTGTATTTCCTGTTTGGCTAAAAGGTCAAAGGTTAAACTGTTAAGGATATATCCCATATGGCGTAACTCGCTTGAGTACCTCAAGCTAGATTTACTGCCATTTAGTGATAAGCACAGTATTTTAGACCGACAAGCAGCTCTTGGGTGTACGCTTGTATCGACGCTTGCATAAATTAGTCCGCGGATAATTCGAACCCGGGAGCGCGGATGGATACAGCTGGTAGGGCGGATGGCTTACATCAGTGTCTTGGCATAAGGCGAATTTCAAACACAGGGGTGTGAGTAAGGACAGCGAAGACACGTGCATTAAGTCTATGATGTGCATAAGGAGAATGTGTGTGTTTGGGGAGGGGAAGGGGGGCTAGAAGACTGAAATAAAACTCTTATTAAAAAGTAAAATATCCTGTCGAATTTGAGGTCCAAATGGCAGATCAAGTAGTGTACAACTCTTTCTACGATACTCACCCCACCCCCGAAGCTTTTCTAAAACTAACAGCTAAAAATACTATATTCAAAACATATATTTCAAACAGTGTTCACACCCCCCCCTCCCCCCCCCAAAAAAAACCTCCATAAGTGCCGCCCCCCCCCCCGCCCTCCACCTGAAGAAAAATTGTTTAAAAGAAACACTGATTTAATCTGCATACAAAAAGGTGTGATCAGTTATATGCCCAACCCCTTTTACTTTACCTAACATAAGTTTAGAATATACGTCGTTATGCCCTATTGACCATCTGGTCTGAAAAGGGTAACTTTAAAAAAAATGTTAAGATAATGTACACATCATTATAATCTTTTCCCGTTCGTGCCCAAGACACACGGGGCAGATGAAGCAGAGTTCATCTGTTTCAATGACAGGAGGTAGTGTGGTTTGGACTATGTACAGCGGCCTTTGTTTCCTTAACGTGAGTCAGGTACCCATCAGAGCTGGGTGTACTCAGGGGTTTCATACATATTTGAGCCCGGGATCCGAACTCGCACCAGCATTCGTAAGCTCTACCATTCGACCAGAGTGTGCACATATTACAGAACGGAAAAAAAAGTAACATTTCCGCCCTAACAGAATATAACGTTGTATTAAGGTACAATAAACTAGTCTGTAACATTTCTAAGAACAACCCCACTATTTCCCCATACACATACATACACTTACACACACACCACGTCACAATTCAGTTACACACAAATGTGAAAGTGTTGTGTCGCTATGGGAATCACATTATTGATTAACTCACGTCATTTCCTTAAAGAGTGGAAATCTAATGTCACATATCCACCTAAAGGAGAAGCAAGCCCAGTTAGAAACTTTTAAAACACTTTGATTGGGGAGATAAGAGAGCCAGTATACATTCACCCATTCTAAGTAATAGAAAATTTAACAAAAACAAAAGAATCAAATGTTTTACATCTAGATAAAATTGATAAATATCGCCTTTTACCATATATAACAAAAAGATGAATAACACTATACATAAATTCTGTATTAAAAATATAGCCTATGTATGAACCCTTAGAATGTACTGAGTTTAAATGAATGCCTCTTACGTTTTATAAAAAAAAAATATTTAAAAAAAAAGAAAGTAAACTCCCCATCTTAGATTTCGATATAAACGCTATCAAACACAACCCCGTTGTCTTATTTTGTGACATTGTAAATCTGAATCGGTCATATTGCCACAAATCACACACTTCCTTCCCCCCCCCCCCTCCCCCATCCCCAACTATGGCACCACATTAGTTTGTTATATCACATTGCGCAGCTATGGTGAAGTTTCCTCCTCAGGCAAAAGAGGCCCATACGCCAGTTTTGTAAAACTTTAGATTTGGTGTCACCCCCCCCCCATCCCCCGCTGGGATGGTATCATCCTTGTCTACTAATGTTATTTTTTCTGAAACAAAATCTATTTCTTATTAAAATTAGGTATTACTCCCCCACCCCCTCCCCCAGAACGAAATAGAAACAATATATACTTTATATAGAAAATATATACTTTAAACAGTGCCCTTGAAATGTTGAAATGTGTGTCCAACCCTCACTGAATGTTTCAAGTAGAGTTTCTTCCAGGCATCTCTTCGGGGGGGGGGGGGGGGATTTGGAGCTTTCCCCCCCCCCCCCCCCCCCCGAAAAAGAGTCTACAGCCCCCCCCCCCCCAAATTTCAAATTCCCCCCCCCCCCCCCCCGAGAAAAAGTCTGTAAGACACACTGGCTTCAAGTGCCCCCTCCCCTCCTCAATAAGAAAACATGTCTTAACGAAACACTTTTTATAACATTATTTTAAGTTACCTTTATTTTAATCATTTCTAAAACTACACAAATTAATAATAACCATCCACCTAACCCCTTCTCGCCTTGTATGATTAAATGTGCAAGATTTTGTATAAATGTAAATTATATCATTATTATTATTATCATCATTATTATTTGTGTAATGCTCTGTCACGTTTCCAACACTCAGCCCCACACTCCTCCTCGAAACACAACTTTCTTTAAAAACGGACAGTGAAATCCACCACCTCCCCCTTAAATCGAAGCTACATCATTGCCTCATCTATCACAATTTTCCGTCTTTTATTCAGTCTAAAAAAATAACCAAATTATACAGATTGGATAAACCGGTAATTTCTTAGAATAATCAAATATTAATTTCCTTCTTTAAAAAAAAAACACTTCATAATAGTGATTGAAAAATTACTGATATAACTGTGACTTTTCATTATACAATATTTATTACGATAATAAGTTAATGACTGGTGAGTTAATTATATACAAGAATATCGCGAACGCCAAATTAAGTGTTGCGCGCGAATAATACATAATTATTAATTCTCATTTCAAATACCGGTAATAAAAAAAACGCGTAGTCACTGAGAGCGAGATTTACCATAGCAGAAAAGTGGAAGAAAAATAAAGCGGCATTTCCAAACAGAAAAAGAGGGCAGTATGTCCGCTTTGGCGAGTTATAATTTACTTGGTAACGCCCCCTTTTGGATTATAAGTATTAATCCAAGGCTAAAGATTGGTTGAATGAATAAACAAATGGATTTGACACCGATAAACGCGTGCTCCGTCGGCAATTTGTCACTTCCAATCAGTATGTTTTGCATTCGAAACCCAGGGTGTTAATATATGCGTCACGTGATACCAACCGCCAATCACCAATTGCTGTTACTTGGAGGAATGCATTCGGGGCACAAACGTGGGAGGCGAAGCTCACGTTACTCAGTGTGTTGTGAAACTTCTGTAGCGACAGGTTGTGAATGTGCCTCTACTATATAATGGAGTAACTTGTGCATTCGTGAATATTGGATTACTTTTGAAACCATGTCTCGGACCAAGTTTATAAGCTTTCTAGTGTCAGTTATTCATAGTATATCGCCAGCAGTGGAGCTCTAATCGAGTTCAATGTCGGGCCAATATGGCCGCCGTGTTGTTGTATGTCTGTTCTGCTTTCGTTGTTTGGGTGTGTTGTTTCAAACACACTGTACAAGCCGAAAGTGTAAAATGCCCATCTTCGTGCACATGTCTTGGAAGTGTTGTTGATTGCAGTAAAATCGGACTAGTGAACATACCGAAAGATATCCCAAGATGGGTTACACGACTGTAAGTATTTTTATTTCAAAACAGACGAGTCCATTTTTTATGCTACCTTACACACGACACAGCAGTCGGTCTACTGTAGTATCGACTCCGTGTTTACAAGATTCATTCATAGTTTAGCGTAAGCGGTGTGACTGTACTAGATTAAGATCTAAGTATTTACATGTTGAAAAGGCTGATCATTATTTAAAATTATAAAATGGTTCTAGATCTATTTAATATTTAGGCCTAATGGAGAATTAATTCTAGAATCTAGAACACACCGAGATTTTACTGTTGATATTCTCTTGCCGCTAGGTCTAGATTCTAGCTAGATTTAGCCCCTCTCTACTCTTCTACATTATTTGAGTCATTTCTAGAATCTCTAGATCTAGACTCTATGTCACTAGCCTATTGGTGTTTTTTTCTGATTAGTCACAAATCCGATTGCATTTTAAACTACTAGAGTCTAGATCTAAAATCTAAATTAAGTAAATTTCCATTCTCAAACCATGATAGAATCTCTACATTGTTTGGTAGATTTCTAATTTCTAGAATGCTATTCAGATCTAGATCTAGATCAACATTCTAGAAATAAGTCTTCTAACTTAATTTTACTTAAATAAGTAGGCCTAATAAAAGACCGTTTTAGTGCTAATTTGTAATTTATTAAAAAAAAAAACCATAGGAGACCCTGGTGTAGTGAAACGTGCCTCATCATTTAATCAGTTTAGAACTACTTAACTTTGTATAGAACTTCTGTGTTAAAAAACAATTTTTAAATTGCATGCATACATTAAAAATTGATGAATTAATCAATGAAGAGTCCTGGCCAAAGGCTTAAACATTAACTAAACAAATTCACAATTTACTATCAATATTCAATAGGCCTATTTGGCACAGTCCCAGTAATTTTCCACCTAAATAAATGTTTTGTTTTGTTTGCAAACCGTGAAATATTTTATTTAAATTACATTTGTTGGTCTTTCTTACACAACCATAAATTCATGTAGAACTAGCAATTTACTCCAACCCTCTCGGTTAGTCAGTATTTCAATTCAATATTTTATTTGATTGTTGCATCTAACCTCTGTACTCACTAATTAGCAATACTTATCGATGCTATATAGACCTATAGATTAGTATAAATTCTATATATCCTCCTTATATTTATATAGCTACCAATGTTGTTCGAAGCCACATTCTTTAAAAAATATGTCAACCCATATATATATTTCAGGTAGCTCGTATTATAAATAAATAATAAACTATACCTTGACCACTTTGTTGTACTCACTTAAAGATGCTAATGCTTTGATCATGAGGGATTAACTTTTACTAAATTACCCTTTTCTAAGTGGACTCTCTATTAAGTAGGGCCTATCTATTGGTTTTTCCTATCGATTTTTTTAAATTGTTACAAATCAGTTCAGCTGATCAGTTTTATCTTAAATTAGCAGTACCATATAGTTAAGTTAAAAGGCTTTAAATCAAAGTGTTGTGTTTAAATTACTAATTGCTGGTTCAAATTGTTACTTATTTATGAGTACTAAATTGGGACCAGTGTGCCCTCCTGTTTCCATCTAGTTATATAAGTTTAATTATTTCCACAATAATTGTGTTATTTTAAATCACATTATTGAGTAGAATTCTATAAATACTGGTATTAAAATATATGTAATATATTAACTGTCGAGTCTGTTTTCTTCATGTGAATAAAAATCAATACATCTTTAACTATATGTATTTTTAACTGTAAAGTTCTGAGTCTAAGTAATGTAAAGTTAACATTTATTTATACTCTATTGTGAAATTTATCATCATTACAAAGAATGTATGACATTTTAAATTTTTCCACATGTAAAGTTTAATGTCTTGTACACATTCAATATCATTGATAATTTAGGTTTTTAGTCCTTCACACATCACTACCAAAAATAAAAGAGAAATGTAGTCTTTTTGTTTTTGATTAATCTAAAGTTTTTAGTTTAAATGTCAATTTATAAACATTTGTCAGAGAAATTTAAGAGGTCTTATTTTGATGGATCATTATTCAGTTAAATAAATGTGTGAAGTGATAGGTTTAAAACGTGCATTGTGTTTAACTGTAAAATGTTTTTACACACTTGCATATAAAAAGTGCATGGTATTTTGCAAGGCTTACATTAAAACATTTTAATGTAAATATTTTACTCTACAGAGAGATAGTGTCTAACAGTATTGTGGAAATAAGGCATGATGATTTAAAGGGACTGCATAATCTCCAGTATCTGTGAGTAATTTTACTTGGTATTTTTTTTACTTAAAAAATTATTCTCATTACCAAAATGGTCAAGGGCCAGGGCATTGTAAAAACAGTTTCTTCGCAATTACTCAAAATGAAGGTAGTTATTTCCCTGCTAACTCTATTGGAAGTCAGTTTTCTCTCCTTCCCCCCTGACCCCTCCTCACTGCAGCAAGGATCTGTGGTCAGTCAGAGCCTTAGCTTTTGAGGGTGGAATGCGTTTCTTCTGTGGTCAGCAGGTAAAGACGTTAAAAGTAACCAGAGCCGAATGTGTTTCAAAGGTCAGGGAGGAAATCTGAAGTTCAAAGCAGTTCTTTTACACACGGGTTTACTTTAGTATGGTCAAGTAACATGCCGGCCATTGAAGAAATGAAACCAATAGGTCCTTCTTTATTTAAATACGCATTGTGTCAATAAAGTTAGTTCTAGTAAATTCTACCTAGTCATGTTCAAGTACGTAGGCTACTGATGGCAGTATAGCCGGGTTTTTGTGTGTGTTGCCTCGTGGCAATGCGGGCCGCACCAAGTTTGCACGAAATGGTGTGAACTCGCTCCCTGCGTAATTGTTTATGTAGATCTTATCTCCAACCTGTTATGTACACCCCTTAAACAATCAGGCAGCCAACGACGCCTCTGCCATCCTATCCTGTGATGTATCTGTACATAGTGTTAAAGCTTCCAAGATTCGTAACCTATTGACTGGTTGGGGGAGGTGGAGGTGCATTTACGTGGGTTTCTACATCAACACCACTATCCCTCCTCGAATTCTGTTATTGTAACGTAATTGGCGATCTGCTCCGAGCACTACGCTATTTAGTTGTATATTTTACAGGTATTTCCTAAACTGAGTAGCTCTATTATGGCCTGGATACACTATTCGTCTTTTAAACGTTAAATATTTAATTGCTATTTTTTTAGTCGTATATAAATAAACGGTGCGATCGTGCGTGCGTATACTGGTTTTAAAAAAAATTGTGAGGGATTGTATTCACTTCTTTCATTTCTATTTAAGCGTAATAAAACATTTCCTCTTGTGGGGATGTTTATAACGCTCGTTACGTTACCGGCCTGAGGTATACTATAGAGAGTACATGTCTGATTTCACTTTTATTTTCACTCCCAATACAAAACCACTGACCGCGAATAATCCTCAGGCCCATTAAAAAACAACGCGTATTAGTTACTTTGGATCGTTTTATTTTAAAGTGTGCCTAGAAATGCGCGCTGCTTCAAGCAATAACGAAATGTGGGGCTTATTTGAAAGAACAGCTGACCTTCATCCTCCCTCCCGACGTGACTATAAAGTTTTTCATTTTACTCTCATTGAAATAGAATTGCAGTATTTGAATCATTTTCGCCTTGATGATTAAAAAAATACATTCTCGCCCCCCTTCTCTTTCCCCTCGACGCCCCTCCTCTCCTTATTTCCCCTCAGTCATATCCTCAGTGTGTATCGGAGTTGGCTGTGAATTTCAATGGATAACCCGAACTCGTGAAGAGCCGTATAATGAATGCGCCGTGACTTGAGTCGGGGGAGACAGAAGAAAGGGTCCCTATTGACAAGCTTTGGAAACCGCGAAAAATCGTGCCAGAGACACTGAGAGTAAAGAAGTTGGGGGGGGGGGGGTGGAGATTGAAAGAGCGTTCACTCTCTATTGCCAGATACCAGAAACCTGGTAAATAGGAGGAAAGAGGGGCGGGGAAGAATACGAGGATCATATGAAAGAAATGTTTATTACTATATCTGTATGGAATGAGAAATTTCAAGGGGGGAAAAGGCTACACACTACACGCCGACAACTAGGATTTTAATTTTAGTTACTTCTTAAATATTTTTTGTTACTTTTTTAAAGTATCTTTTTCTATTATTGATTATAAAAACAGTGTTATCGATTACGGATTTAGAAAAACTGTTTTCGATGATTAACATTTTGACTACCAACAGCTTGTGCTGAAAGCAGATTAAGAGCTGATTAAAATTTTGTGCGGGGGTATTGACGACTTAATTGTCGGCTCTCTGGCGACGGTCTGTCGCCCTCGCCGCTTTCAAAACTGTAGTCATGCTTATGAAAGGCTTTGACACAAATCCGATTTTCCTTCAAAACTTTCTTTTTTTCTTTCTTTCTATGCTATTAAATAAAAACCTTTGTCCGCTTTAGAGGGTTTTTTTTCCCAGTTCACGTGACGACCCTGTGGAGATTAGCCAGTAAAACGTAACACATTTATTTGGCTGTGACTGAGTGATATGCTGTTAATGTTGGCTAGGGCTTAGAAAGAGATTAGCTTGTAAAACGTAATACATTTAGCTGTGAAAAACTGATATGTTTTTACTGTTGGCTAGATCACACAACGATATCATTACTGCGCGTTATGTGCAAAGCTTTTTACATGCATGCTCTGCTCACATATTTAGTCCTGTAATAGTATGTTATTTTACTCTAAGCAAAACACCGTTTGGTAATGTTAAATAAATATATCCCTGCTACAATCGGCTTATAAACACTTTAATGCCTCAGGTAGAAATACGTATACAAGTTGCCGATTTCCCCCTCTCTCTCTCCCCCCCCCTCTCTCCACGAGTCTTCTACATTCACCATCTAGGCTAAAAAGATCGAAACCGAACCGTATAAAAATAACGGACGACGCTCTCTAGGGGAAAGGAGCTGAGAAGAGAAGAAGAAAAAAAACTAACGAATCTTGTTTTTACGCAATAAAGCTTAAATAAATTTTGTGGAAGGGGCTTAATCATTAAAATTTGTTGTTACAGACGTTACAAGTAGTGGTGGCGCCACTGCTATTTTTTCAGCCCACGGAGCGAGATGGTAGAAGAGTTTGCTTTGCCTTCCTCGGCTTTTTTTTTTTTAAATATGCGTACGTTCAAATAGGGGGGAAGGGGTGGTTGTAGAGAGAGATGTATATCGTTAGTGTATTTAAAATACATTTTTTTTTATTCTTAATGTATTCAATTAGATCTATATTGAAAAACGTATGATTTTATTTCTATGAAAAGATATATAGACAGCTTTCTAGCTGCGAATTGTTTTCTTGTTGGCAACGGGGTGAATACTCGACATGCAGTGCTTAAGTACACGGCTGTTTCGAACATTCCGATGAGATTCGTCGACGTAAATGTAGTTTTGATTTAGCCGTTTATGTAAATCACATGCTAAAGCTGACTTTTTGTTTCCTAGCCAAAATGATGTTGCCATTTGAATACGTGAAGCGCTCAACTGCATCTGTTTTCTGCTGGTAGCATTTTTTCTCATCAGTCTGCTCGGGGCGGGGATGGTGGGGCTGGCTTCTTGTGATTGAGACTTAAAATAGCCGTGTATACGTGTTTTTTTTTTAAGGTTATTAGTGTATAATCTAAATATATATATATATATATATATATATATATATATATATATATATATATATATATATATATATATATATATATATATATATATATATATATATATTATATATATATATATATATATATTATATATATATATATATATATATATATATATATATATATATATATATATATATATATATATATATATATATATCCTTCCCTCTTTCCAATATAGTAAAAGTATGTCCAGTATGAATAAAAATCCATGCGTTTGAAGTGTTTTCTAGTCACCGTGTCAGGCCCCTAGGCTGCCTGTGTTGTCACTGTCCGTCAGTCTACCCCTTTACCGCTGACCCTTTAACCCCGCCGGTGTCAGCCCGTCTTAACTCAAACACGTTCAACAAATAGTTCCAAGTTTAAGGCAGGTAAACAAGGATTGCAATGATTAAACAGGTGTGTGTGGTGGCTTCAGGGGTTTTAAAATAAAACGTACAAACCCGCTGCTCGGTCAGCGTGGTAGCCCCCTCTCCACTTCTCCACCCAGATAACAATTTTATCACCAAGTATACACGTTCTTTTAGTTTAATAAGGAAAGATACAAAATATTTGGTTCTGAGTTTAAAGCGTACATCAGTATGTGATGTAGAGGCGTTGACGATGGTGTATTGACACACTGCACTGCTGTGTGCTCACCGTGGACAAACTCACTAATCCCACATATCTTATTATCTACGCCGAGATAACCTTGTTGGTGGGGTATTAGCTTATCGTTCTTTCGGCGCGATGAATAATTTAAAAAAAAAAAAAAACAACCCCAGCGTTGGTCTCCTCCTGCCTCACCCCCCGCCCTCCTTGCCGAGACTGTACACACACACTTTGCCGTTCCTTCAAATAAATCCGGCACGCCATTCACTGATTGAACTTTGTCACACCTTTTCACCGCCTCGTTCACCTATCGGGTGCCGGCCTCTTGTCCTGTGCCAATATATTTTGCGGTCTCCTGTCAACCTGGATGTTCCCCCACGCTGTATCAACCGTATCTCTACCCTCCGGTGGATTCAGGGGGGGGGGGGGCGTCCCTCACTCACCCACCTCCTTCTCTTCAAACACCATCGATAAGTGTCCTCTACAAAACCGTATTCAAATTGACCCCAGATTTGGGCTGGTGTTACCTGTAGTGGGGGGTTCTTCTTTGTTACCCTAGTCATCCAGTCTCGAGTACTAACACACCTTTATTTGAGTCAACGTTGCCACCCATAGAATCCTTAGTCAGATACATTCTACACACGTGTTGATACTAGCTAAACATGTATCGATGTGTCTTTCTAATACATACATGACTCGATACTGCTCACAAAAGTAGGTGTGATGACGATAAGGTACTTAGTCAGATACATTCTACACACGTGTTGATACTAGCTAAACATGTATCGATGTGTCAATCTAATGAACACATGACTCGATACTGCTCACAAATGTATGTGTGATGACGATAAGGTACTTAGTCAGATACATTCTACACACGTGTTGATACTAGCTCAACATGTATCGATGTGTCAATCTAATACATACATGACTCGATACTGCTCACAAAAGTATTGTGATCACGATAAGGTACTTGTACACATAATATCGGCTGTCGACGGTAAATCTATACACGATTAGAGATGCAGACATGACATAGATAGCATGTATTATTTATCAGTTAATCAAACATTATTGACAAGCTAGCAGGGTGTAACATTTCTTCTTTATCAGCAGCACAAGATAAATGCTCACTCATATTTAAAAGTATACATCATATATATATCATATATATATATATATATATATATATATATATATATATATATATATATATATATATATATATATATATATATATATATATATATATATATATATATATATATATATATATATATATATAGATGTATATACATATATACATATATATACATATATATATATATATATATATATATATATATATATATATATATATATATATATATATATATATATCCTAACACCCTAAAAAGTTTTTTTTAAGAGTGTTGTAGGTCACGCGTAAAGAGAATATTTAACTTACATAATTTAGAAAATACAACACCGCTCACAGTATTGACATGTTTAAATTCTTAAAACACAATTTTAGTCGATTGTTTAGAAATTGCTTATTCGTTATATCTTTTAAAGTGTTCTTACTTTTATTATTAATTGGTTTTAGTTTAGTTTTATATTCCTCCTACCATCCCTCATTTTTTCTTTTGATTAGCTTAATACTTTAAACATCCAGTTTGTAAAAAAAGATTAACGATATATATTTTATGTATGACTTGAAAGCCCAGCGTAATGAATGTTTGTTGGCGTAATTAGGTCTGAATTTGTATTTTAGACTTAACTACTCTAACACGATGAGTGGTTTTAGTGAGGTGAGAGGATGCGTTAATAGGGAGCTTGAAGCAGGTAACATAAAAAAAAAACTTCTTGTCATATTAAGACTCGCTTCCATGTGCTAAAAGCATTTTGAGCATGGCCTGATTTCGCTTGGTTCTCCAACACCGAGTTCTGCTTGGCCGAGTTTGCGCTACACAAAAAAAAATGGGCTTCGTTTCTGCCAATAAATGCTTTTACTCAACAGCGGTTATGATAGGTTTTCCACGCCAGCGCCTGGTGAGAGCAAAGCATGGTAACGGAAAAACTTCAAACCTTACACTTAGAACTTCGGTGGTAGAGATGTGAGCTCTTCTTTTTTTTTTAATGAAGTTTTTAAAAAAAAATGTAGTGCAGCAAGAAGTGCGCAAGGTGAAATGGTGGCCGATAGTATCTCACGAGCGTTCGGTCTCTTTGATAGAGATATAAAGATTAGCCAGGGCTATGTGGCGTCTACACGGGGCTGCACGTTTAAGGTTTAATGTTGGCGTGTCGGTGACACCTTCATACACGGGTATCTGTACACTAGTTGAATGAGTGAGAACCCGATATGTCAGAAAAATTAAATTTGGTCATGATACCACGCTGGCTTGACAGGGAATTTTAAAAAATAAAATCGCATTCATAAGCAGATTAAACACTACATTTTGACACTTAATTGAGGTTGAATTAATGCTCATTAAGTGAAAGGTGGTTAAAATTGAATGGTGTTAATTGGTTATAAGCCAGCGTCGCTGTCGCGTTGTTGGCGTCGTGCTGACTGTCCGGCGCTGTGGCGGCGACTGACGCCAGCCTTCAGTACCCTGCTGTGAAATGGCCGTGTGCACTAGCCTGAACCACTAGACGCCCACGAGTAGCTCGCCCACTAGTTGCCCCCACATCAACACGTTACTTTTATTTTAGTTAAACCCGTATCTCCCCTGTATCAAGCTTCATCTGCCGTCATGTTGCGATACCTAGCTACCACCACATCAACACGTTGCTTTTAGTTAAACCAGTATCTCCCCTGTATCAAGCTTCATCTGCCGTCATGTTGCGATACCTAGCTACCACCACATCAACACGTTGCTTTTAGTTAAACCCGTATCTCCCCTGTATCAAGCTTCATCTGCCGTCATGTTGTAGATCAGATCGATTCTCATTAAGTCTCTCGCCTCGTTCTCTCCCCTTGACAACGGCAGTAATCATTTTAGGCTAATGATGATTTAGATATCAAATAGTGGGGGAAATTCGTTGCTCGAGAATTTATTTCCTTCAGTCTATCGTCCACCTGGTTGGTGTAGACCAGTGCCGCAGACAGGGGGCGTTAATTCTCCCCCCCCCCTTTTTTTTCTCCATGATCGCACAGTATGACAGCTGTCCCACGTTAAGTTACAATTATTGACGCACGTGTCACATTCTGTACCTAAACTTTCTAAAGAAACTTATGTCATAAACCATAATAGTAAAATGTTCAAATTGTTATGATATATATATATATATATATATATATATATATATATATATATATATATATATATATATATATATATATATATATATATATATACATCCTGCCTACATCTCTGACATTTCCTACTTTAGTAACGCTAACTTTGTACGTCTAATCCTCGCCCCTGAGTATAAATGTGTTTAGTCCATGTGGTAAGCTTTTAAAAAAAAAGAGGGGCGGGGTGGGTGTTTAAGTCTCCGGTGTCAGGCGTCTGACTGTGACAATGGATCTGGTTTCGCTACTGTAAAACTGAGATGGGCTGCCCTAACTTGCCATTGTGGCCCGGTGTTTCCAGCTTGTAACCCAAGGTGGTTACCAGAGCCCCTTGACTAACAAGGGGCTCGGTTTTTTGTAAAGGCCGCAGGATGAAAGGGATCTGGCAAAGTGTTAACAATTAGTTTGGGGGAATTACTGCCAGGTTTTGAAACTGCTTCACCAACTGGATGCCTCGAGGACGGAGCAATTAGTTGAACACTTGTTTTTTTCAATTACCTGCCTATTTAAATTGGTGTACAGTAATTATGAGGCACGAAAATAAAATTTAATTAAAACAATAAGCAGCCCACATGTAGTTAAGAAAACTCGCATTTTATTAATAAAGATATAATGTAGCCAAATCTTCATATACTGTAACTATTGTCAAGGTTCGCTTAAATTCAATCTCCCCGAGACTCACTGCATGTCTGCCGTGCATCGATTATGTTAACCCACAAGTGATAAAAGCTGCCACCGCACCTATTCTCGCGAGACCAACTAATAGCTCATATTCCATCAATAACTCCCCGAGTTGCTTCTTATCCTTCAACCTATCACGATCTCTCTCTGTACTCGGCGGGTCACTCACACAAGAGCCGTCAGCATGTGAGGGGGATACGGGGCGATGGGAGACGTTGGCACCACGGGAAGGAAGCCGGCATTGTTTTATGTGGCGAACAGGTGGCGGGGGGGGGGGGGGTCTATCTTGTTGCTTAGTACGAGCAGTGTCTAGGTTTGTAGAGTCGACTCGGGTGTCCTGTTTTATCAAACTTAGTGTTGCCACCAAAGTATTTAACTTAGAATACAGGTGGGGGAGGGGGTATCTTGTTGCTTAGTGCGAGTAGTGTCTCTTCTAGGTCTGTAGCGACTCGGGCGTCTTATATCAAACTTACTGCTGCCACAAAAGTATTTAACTTACCACACACATTCTGAAGAAAAAACCCCAAAATGATTATAAATTAATGTTAATGTAAGCACGAGTCGATAGACAGTAGCAATATATATCTACATTCGTTATTTTATTCCCAAAAGTACATAATGATTCGGGCATCAAGATTTACACAACATAACACACATCAGTGTACTGGGTTGTGGCCTGAGCCCCACCAGAATCTCTGGCACAATGAATGACACACTCTTGTGTGGCTATGATTTTCCCCATCCGAACCGTCTTAGAATTTCCGGGTGTCGAGAAATATGCTCGATGCTGGAAAGGTTACTCCGGCCTGGTGTTATTTCACTTGATTTTCTATCTTTCTCCTGCATTTCGGGTTTGCGTTTTTTTTTGTCTATAAATAAAATAATTTGCCAGAATAACACAGGTCGTTGCCGGCCACCCACAGGCTACAAGTTTAGTGTAAATACTCAATAAGGCTACCTTAACGGCCGCAATGCATGCAGTTTAGGTAATAACATGCAGCTGGTTTCAAATCTGACTTGTATTAGTCTTCACCTTTACACTAAGCTGTTACAGTGATGATTCGTTTTCCTGCCTATACTTGTTTTATTACACCGTCCATGAATTGTTTTTGTTTTTTTTTTTACTTTTTATAATGCAAGAAAATTATCGTGTTTGATTTTTAAAATTGGGTTTATTTCTATTCCTCAGGGATCTGAGTAAAAACGAGTTGAAATCTATCGATGGATCAGCTTTTAGCGATCTGACAAGTTTAACTCAGCTGTAAGTATGATTTTTGTGTTTTTATAAGCCTCGTCATCCCTGTCAACAGACTGTTACTCAAACATATAGTCCTGCTCAGCTAGTACTCACACACCCAACCCATCCAGTACTCACACACCCAACCCATCCATTACTCACACACCCAGCCCATCCAGTACCCACACACCCAACCCATCCAGCACCCACACACCCAGCCCATCCAGTACCCACACACCTTACCCATCCAGCACCCACACCCAACCCATCCAGCACCCACACACCCAGCCCATCCAGTACCCACACACCTTACCCATCCAGCACCCACACCCAACCCATCCAGCACACACACACCCAGCCCATCCAGTACCCACACACCTTACCCATCCAGCACCCACACCCAACCCATCCAGCACCCACACACCTTACCCATCCAGCACCCCCCTCCTGTACAGTTTGGGTCACCAGCCAATGTTCTGTTATCGCCCACCCCAGATCGTTAACTTGACATGTTCACTGATACGTCTGACATGAAGAGTGTGAAAGATCATTCTCTGTCCGAGTTTTGGCTTTTTTAATTGTCAGCCTACTGTCATATCTGGCTAGTTCAATTGTGTATTTTTTTTAAACCGAACACGAGAAGCCGAGTTGAGTGGGGTGGGGGATAGTGATAGTCTCGGAATGTTGGACGACACAAACCTCTTGTTCATGTCCTAATGAGATAAAGAGACAGGTTAGGGTTCATGCGCAGACTAGATTTGACCCCACTCAAGGAAATTTCCAAAGATAGCACACACTAGCTTGAAGAGTGTGAAACTGTCACTTCAAATTTGAGAATCGTTAGATTAGCCATCTGATTGCTCTCCAACGCAATCTTCGTTGTTGTTGTTGTTTTTCTCATCTCTAATAGATGTGCTTTTCTTCGTGTGTAGTCACAGCTAGTATTTTCGGGTGTGTAGTCCGAGTACTTTAGGGTGCTGTATCTCTGAGTTTGGTCAAAACTTGAACTTAGTGGCGTTGTATCTTGGTCTGATATTGTAGCCACTGCTTTGTTACCGTTTCTTGGTATATATTCATAGTATGCACTTTGGAATGCGAATATGAAAACCTGATTTTAAAAACTCGCGTTTTAACATCTCAAGTAGGACGTTTTGGCTATCTTGTAATGTCAAAGACAACTGACCTCAGTACAGTATGACAACCAGCTAACACATACAGCACACACTTTAAAAAAAAAACTAGATCTATGACCAATACTTGAATATTTCAGTGGTATATATTTTAACGATTAATTCAACGACACATTCTGCGTCTCCTGTGTCAGTTTATCACACCTTGGCCGCGTCCGCTAACATAAAAAAAGATTAAGTTAGATAATAGGCAACACGTTTTTATGTACATTAAAAAAATTATCTTGTCACCGCTTTTTCAAATGAACCAAGATAAGCGGCCAAGTTTACATACTTTCGTTGAGAGGGTTGCACAAGAAGGCGACTGCAGAACTTTTTTTTTTCAATAAAGATAAAAAGACTTCCAACAACATTAATCCATACTATTGCTCTGGCAGCACACTGTCTGTTGTTACCACTATATATAGGCCTATATGTATATATATATATGTGTATATATATATATATATATATATATATATATATATATATATATATATATATATATATATATATATATATATATATATATATATATATATATATATATATATAGGACTTGTGTTAAAATGTAACAGGATCGAGTGGTAGGATTAAAACACTGGGGGTAGTACCAGCCCTCATACGTGGAGCGCTGCTGGAATAGTTTCCACGTACTGCGGTTGTGTGGCGTGCTCGCTTGTCAAACGGTTTGATCCCACCCAGACCACTAGAGATAAACAGACCCTGATTACAAAAAAAAAAAAAGAACGCCCGTTCAAACAATTGCAAAATATACACACACCTGTCAATTTAAATAAGCTTGGGTTTTTTTTTTTTATAGTGGAAAAAATAAATTTAGATAGCCAAATGTAACGTGACTCATTACACTTTAGGGTATTAGAGGTTTTGATAAACATTGAACATGCGGGTGGATCGGGGAAGTAAATAAATACTCGCGGCATCCACAAGCGGGACCCCCTGCTTGGGTCCCTTAGAAAACCACGCCATGGTCTGTTCAGGTTACAGGCAAACGTCCCCTATCTCGCTGCATGCGCTGATAAGTCGTGGATTTGATGGGGCTGGGGGTTTAGGGAAATCAGATTATTTGTTACATTTTTTTAACTAAAGCCATTGGCAGGGTTTAGGAAAATCAGATTATCATTCTTACATTTTCAAACTAAAGACATGGGCAGGGGACAGAATCCCTTAAAAATTACCTTCTCTGAGATTTTAAATAAATAATTTGATCGCTGGAAATCGAAAAAGTATTCGATGGCTTAACCTAGTGTAGCTAAACGGGTTGTTGTTGTTTTTTTTTACTCCATATTAATCTGGTGTTTTAATATTTAAGTTTTATGGTTTGAAAAGAAAAAGTATAGCGTCTGTTCTTATCAAAACACAGTGAGCAACTTGATTGTCTATACCTAACCTAGACAGACACAGGAAGGTGAAAATTAATGAATGATTAAATTTCTCACGGCGCCCCAGCAAAACGTTTCCTCTATAAACCAAACATAAATTGATTCCATTGTACCCCGAGGTGTTTGTTACCACCAGATAATTTGTTTAGACTTTAAAAACACAAGAGCGCCCCCTCCCCCACACCGTTATGTTCCCCCTGCCTTTGGTGGATGCAAATTAAAGCTGAAGCCTTTATGCCGGAAAAGGTGTAGTTTATGGCTACCTCCCTGTGTATCCCACCCACTCTCCCGCCACCCATTCACCTCAGGGGTTTTATTTTCTTCTTTCGTTTTAAGAGCGTGGGACATTAGATTAAACTTAATCTGCCTTCTCCTCGCAGACAAAGTGTTCTAGTGTGCTGTTTGTTATTTGAATTGGAGAAGACAGCGTTTGGTATTCAAATTGACCTGGGTTTATGGCTGCCATTACGTTACGTGTTAATTGAGACAAGTGTAGTTTGATGTTACCCCGTTTTAAAATGCCCATTGTGTGAAATTTAAGACATATTACAAGTGACACGAACATGTAAATGCTTTTAGTTTTCCCCCATCAGATTAGCCGTACCTTCATCCATCTAGGTCTAGCCCTGACAATGATAATGAAAACACTGGTTAAGGTAGAAGTATCCTTCGTAAGAAGATCTCTCGGTATTTTTTACAATTTGCTTAGTGAAAACTCACATATATTATTTACAGTTGAACACAGTATGCGATTTTATTACTTGGGGACTTCACCAGATAAATCTATATGAAAATGAGAATGTTTAAAGGCATCTCATATGCAGGGGTGCCACTTTTCCGGGATTATCCATACAGATGATATGTGTATCGAAACCTTAGTACAAACACAATCGTGAAGAGCAAGACTAGAGTTAGGGCATTAAATAAAGACTTCAAACAGAAAAGTTCGTAAGTCATAGAAATTATCACGAAAAATCAGTTTACGGTGAATATTTCTTATAAGCTAGCATTACATATGTATCTTTGATGTTAAAATATTCTATTTAAAAAAAATTAGAACATAAATTCCGTGCTCGTTTTCAACGTTAGTCACTTGATATCATAAAGTGCATGTTGTTTACAGAAACCCATACTTTGATGTCTGTTGTCGGACATTTGAGATCTTACCTAAAGAATTTCTAATCATATCCCTCAAGTGTGATTGTTTATATTTTATTAACCAGAATGTTGAACTTGACAAGCTAATGCAAATATTTCATTACTTATTTTAATGCAATACCACGTTTGGAGCTGCTAGCCAAAATAAATAAAAACTCGTTGTTGCTGCGAAATGAATTCTACAAACACAAAATTACAAGGAGCTTAGGGCACCTACAATCGTTTGTATTGTTGCTGTAATCCAGCTTGAGCCTTATGCCACACGATTTTTTTCTTCTCTCAACGCCTTGATTGATAGCTGTTATTCTGTTGGTGTCTGCCATCTCTGTGTGCACGTTGATCAATTGCATGTATTACACGCAGCATTTTTATCACGACGAACCTGTTTATTCTGAGCAGGAAGGATTTTTTTTTTTAAATGCAATAATAAAACTCTGATTTTTTTTTATTTAACAGGAGACTGGATTTTAATCAGTTGACGGAGATCCCGAGGTTTTCGCGACATCTGAACATCACAGAGCTCTCCATGTAAGTCCTGCCTTGGTTTCTAATCCCCGGGTTGGCTGTTCTTTGATTGGGGATCTGGTCCCACATATGCTTCTGGCCTCACCTTCAACAAAACACAGACAACTAGTAGAAAGTTAAAGTGTTGTCTGTGTGGGGTTAAACGCGAGAATTTTTGTAGGGTTGAAAAGAAAAATGCATGTATATGCAAGACATGCCATCGACTTCTCTTTTGAAAAAGTTTATCTTTGAAGTGTGAAAAATCGTCTGTTTGGTACGTTTTGGTGGAAATTCGACATCAATAGAATATTTTTTTTGTACACGGAATAAGTTTTATAAGAAAACTATTTTGAAAATCCTGTTCTTCATACGGTTTTTCTATCCTTTATAATACCCTCTCTTTGCATTTCTGAAACCTATTTTTTTTAAAATGCCGTCATAGTTAATTAAATGGGAGGCTACATTATTCACATACCGTAGAACAGGCCACGTAGCTGGCACAGTTTTTAATGGCAGTCATTAGCGAAAACATCCACTGTTGGCTTATTATTAATCGTTGAAAGGTTTTCACTTGAATCGAGTGTTAATTAATTGAAAGAGCTCTAACGACTTTATTTTCGGTATGTAAAACTAACGTGATTTTTTTTTTTTTTGCGTGGTAAAAATAGCTAATAGATATTAGAGAGGTTGTTTTTTTTTCATACTTATGAGTAGAACAATTTACAAATCCGCTCTACTAATCTGTTAATTGCATTGGCGTTAATGATACACGTGTCAAGTCTAAGGGGCTGCTGTTGAAAACTTGGGGACAACGATGTCCCACGTCATTTCAATTGATGAGAGTAGGCTGGTGTAAAAAAAATACGTAACGACTTTTAATTACCCGTAGTTGTAATTATTATTAGTATTGTGATACCACTTTATCCTAACAATGTAATACCTTATAAGTCGAGCTGATACTCTCGGAAACCGTCACAATTCGTGTATATAAAAACATCCAACCACAAGGCCACATATTGTAAGCCACGATCTCGGTCAGGGATCATGCTATTCCACTGTCTGATCTAGATTTTTTTTTCCCCTGTTAATTCAGTCTTAAACGCCCTGTCTCCAGCGGGTTCGCCCCAGCATGGGGTGGATCAGAACAAAAGATAAAGACACACCACCCGAGCCAGTATTGTTCTTGTGTTACATGTGGGATCACATTGTCCTCCTTGTCGATGATCTCCAATACTTCGCGGAGTGCAGCACCGTCTTTGTTGATTCATTTATTATATATTTTTTCTTCTTCAAATCACGTTAAACATTTTTTTTTTTACTTTTATATTTTTTTATTAATTATCTTAAAAAAAAACGTATCTGACTGCGCCATAGCGAAGTTTTTGGAGCGAAAGAAATAATACGTAGCTGTAGGGAACCCCCTGGTGTTGCATTACGATTGACATGGTATAGGCATGCATCCGGACAATAGCCTGCTGGGAAGACATCGAATTATCTCTAACCTCGGCTCAGCGGAGAGACGCCTTTTGACGGCATAGCGACTTCTCTCGTGTGCACCAAGCGGAAAATTCTCTATTCTCTCCTCCGTACGCATTCGTGTCTACGTGTGTGTATGTAACTGTATATATATATATATATATATATATATATATATATATATATATATATATATATATATATATATATAAAGTGTAGATTCTTGTGTTTTTGTGTCACTGTCTATCAACCTTCTGTATACGCCTGCCTTTACCAGTGTAGCAAATATATTACATTGTCCTCAACAGAGGGAGCATTGACAAATGTATCTTTGTGTTAGCCTTTGGTTTACGCTACACACACACGGGGGGGGGGGGAGATTTTTTTTCCTCCAGCACAGACACTAGCGGCCCAATGGCGTGAATTAGGGCGTACATCAGTCCTTGTTGTATCTTAAGTGGGGGGTCAAAACTAACCTTGACCGCGCTCGCCCATTGTTCGGGCAGGCCATGAACCTCTTCTGGTCACCACTTGTAAACCCTCCACCCCTCTCCTCCCCTCCCCCACCTCCAACTCTCCTAAACACTTGCAGAGGTTTAAACTATTTTATCTCGACCAAAATGTGTTTGTTACGGTAACCACGTGACTAGTTTTGACACGAGATATCATATGCGTGTGTTCAATCATTAAACCTGACATATGTGGTTAACTCTGCGCTATCCGCTAATGTGTTTATTATGCTGTCTGGGACTAGCCGAAAAGATAATTATAGATTGCTTATATTTTCTTTAAAAGTTGTTTTATTTACATTTAGCATTTCCTGTTTTCTGTCAAGAGTTCCATTCAATAGTTTATATATTTAAAAAAAATTAAATTACTTCTGCCTGTGAAGAATATCTACCTTAAATACACAATTAATTAAAATTTTGTTTTTTCCCCTTGAGGAAGGATTTAATTAAAAAGGAACTTTAACTGCAAAAGAACCTTCGTTTAAAAAAAAAACCAGTTGAGGCTTTTATCTTTGTAGGATAAATATCGCAAGGTAAACGAATCCTTTACACAGACGCGCTCCTCTAGGTTTCATTAGCCTCCCAACCTGCTCAGTAACACCGTGGCTCAATCAAAACATAATCACGTTCTCATCACACTCACCACAGCACAAACTCTATTTGAACTTATTTATTTTAGGTGGCGTGTTGTTTTTTTTTTAAAACCAAGGCGAGCTTAATGGTAAACAAATGGTTAGATTTTCCCCGTGTTTGAAATGGAGCGATTATAGCACAACAAAGGCATACGTGGGTATACCCATGATTATTAGTTTGATAAAATATTTTTTTTTTTAAATTTTATATTTCTAATGAAATGTTTTCTTTAACACTCATAGGATTTGTGTTGGGGTGGAGGTTTAAATGGGAGGGCTGGGGATAAATTGGGGGTGTGAGGGATCTCAACTCTCTCACTTCCTGTTTATAGCATCATTTCTGCGAGCATGTCGGCAGCTCCATTGCTGATGACGTTAGAAAAAAAACCGGAGCAGTCTGGGACTGCAATAATATTAGCCGTCAAATCGCGTGTTGTTTTTTAATCGCCGGCAGCGAGCGCTGGGCCGGTAGGGATATGTTTTGTTTGATGTGATAACTGAGATCGTTTGGATGGCCAGGACAAAAAAAACAAAAAAAAATGTACAACGTCCCGAGGCCGGGGTGTAAACAAGATGTAAAACAGAAGAAAGCCTGGACGTCTTCGTTAGCACGGGCTTGCCTGACTCACATGCTGGAGGGGTGGGGGTGGGCCGAACGTGTAACCCTTGGTTTATTTTAATATGTAGAGAAACCTACGGTGTTGTGTTTTAAGGTGCCTCTACATCAGTGTTTCTTCCCGACTTTTTCCTCCGGGGGGGGGGGGCACTTGAAATTTTCGGGGGGGGGGGGGGGCGGTAGACTTTCTTCGGGGGGGGGGGGGGGGCGGACACTGTTACAAGTATATATTTTCTATATAAAATATATTAATTTCATTTCGTTCGGGGGGGGGGGGGGGGGGGGGCGGTAAAAATTTTTCGGGAAGAAACTCTGCTCTACATAAGGAACTGTCAGGATAGTTTAACACAAACCACACATCAGACCTGATATTAAGCTGGACACTAGCCTATAACACCACACATCAGACCTGATATTAAGCTGGACACTAGCCTATAACACCACACATCAGACCTGATATTAAGCTGGACACTAGCCTATAACACCACACATCAGACCTGATATTAAGCTGGACACTAGCCTATAACACCACACATCAGACCTGATATTAAGCTGGACACTAGCCTATAACACCACACATCAGACCTGATATTAAGCTGGACACTAGCCTATAACACCACACATCAGACCTGATATTGGGGTGGACACGAGCCTATAACACCACACAGACAGGCCTGATATGCTGTAAAAAAAAATTAACTTAGTCGATATTACTTTCTTTTGTGCATAGCACATGAAGAATATGCGCACGCTTTAGTATTTATTTCTTAATGTTATTTCCCGCCATATAATTGACAATTTTAAAGTTTAAAAAGTTATTAAGCCCATAAGTCTAGGTTGGGCTTCCATTCTCTCTTTATATTTTTATTTATTCCATTCTACTGTTTTTCATTGTGTATATTTTATTGCTTTTTTTTTATCCAGTTTGATAGAGAAAATGTCTGTATTTTTCTTTTTTTTTTCTTCTATTTTTATATTAGTTTTTTCTATAATCCCGCCCACGTAACCAGACGATCTTTCATTAAAATCTCACATCCCATTTATGTTAGCGTGAGCTATCGTCCGACACACATCGTGGGCCACTGGGCTTGTAATCAGCCGCCTCAACTATATCACGCGGACCTCTCCAATCCTCTTGCTCACATCGTCTCATTTGTCCCTTTGATAGGTTTTTTTACCGGCTAATTTGGAAAACTGGGCAGCGTGACCTATGTTAAAACATTGCATGGTAACACGATTTCTTTTTCCCAATTCCAACGCCACTGTAGTTGGTCAGTAACTGTTGGCGTTCTTTACTTTACACGTGAGACGTTATTTACTTTCCACGTGGGTTGAAATGATTCTCCCTTGAATAATTGTCTGAACATGTCATAACATGAAGCCATCTTCCTCAGACCACTCCCCTCCTCATCTCCCGGGGTTCTTCACAATCCGGGGGCCTCGGGTGGCCGTCGCTAGCCACTGGTGACCGTCGCCAATTTGTTTATGGACAGTCCACTAGTCTTCGCATTGTGTCTAATCATTTGTCCTCCCCCCCCCCCCCCCCCCCCCCTTTCTACTTCATCCCTTTCCTCAAGTACACTTTCGGCGCCAGTGGTGAGTCACGCCTTAAGGTCTTGTAATACAGGCTAGTTAAGTCACTATCGTAGGTTAAAACCTCTTATGTTACTCTCTAACCACGACGCTGTTTTATTAACTATCATAGGTTTAAACCTCTTATGTTACAGTCTCACCACAACGCTGTTACATTCACTATCATAGGTTTAAACCTCTTCTGTTACACTCTCACCACGACCCTGCTACATTCACTATCGTGGGTTTAAACATTCACTATCATAGGTTTAAACCTCTTCTGTTACACTCTCACCACGACCCTGCTACATTCACTATCATAGGTTTAAACCTCTTATGTTACACTCTCACCACGACCCTGCTACATTCACTATCATAGGTTTAAACCTCTTCTGTCACAGTCTCACCACACCCCTGCTACATTCACTACCATAGGTTTAAACCTTCTCTCGGTCCATCCTGTTACCACAGTTTTATTACTGCAGCACAGAGTTTACTGCTTGAGTCGTGTTATCCCATTGGTCGAGACTTTTTGAAGAGCTCTCTAAGAAAGTTTCCATTTCACTTATGTCCCTTGCTTACCTTTTACATGTATTCTCACATAGACGCACTAACATGTATCACCTCGGTCGTAACCGATGTTTCGGGATTTTACACTAGTTTACTGCAGGGGTTAGATTATGCTTTAGGGCCTCTTGACGTTTGGGTTGTATTTCTAGGATTAGCCAAGCGTGCACTCAAATACAAACCACGTAAATAGGATCTTAAACTGCGCTTAAAATATTGTTAGCCTCGACGGTCATTTTTTAACGATATCATTATGTAGTAAATTTTATGTTTTAAGTGTCACGTGTCTTGATGTGTGTACTACGTAACATGATATTGCCTTGTAAAATACTGGGGACGCATTCTCATCGATGGTAGTGTGTCTTAGCCCCCTGGGTGCTAAGGACAGGTGGTGTATCACTGAATGGGTACCCTGGGGTAGGTAGTGTATCGCTAAAATGGGTACCATTGCTCACTGTAGATATTGTGATTTTAATTTCACCGTACTACAGTATATCAAGGCCAGGGCGATGCGCCGTTTTGTTTGAATATTGTAGCATGTCTGGTGACGTACAGCTCTAACATGTCTGGTGATTGTGTGTCTCCATCATGGTCATTATCCAATCAAGGGCGGGGTCAGACTACGTCAACATTGGGGTTTACGAGGCAAAGGTCAAACGGGCCCTGTGTTGGACAGCTGGCTCTATCATTGCTGCCAGGCGGGATAGAGAAGCGCCGCCTGACATTAAATGATGCACGATAAATTGGCCCATTCAAAAGTCGGCTCTGTTGAAATGGGGGGAAAAATTAAATTATTTAAAAAAAAAAAACTGGAAATACTAACGTTTTAAATTGCGACAGTTTTTTTAATTTGATTAAATTTAATGTTATCACCAGCACTAACCAGAGTGGTTAACTTATAGTGGTAGTTGTCTGACATGGCCAAGACCACCTCAACTTTACTCAAACCTTTGAGTGAAGTTTTAAAAATTCTAGGCCAGTTGATGTGTCACGTGGGCATCTCTCTGATATTACTCTAGGGTCGGGCGGGTGGTCATCACATTTTGGACACTTACATCTTGTTCTCGTTAGAATAATATTTATTATGTCTCTTTTTTTTTAAACTAAATAACTGAGCAAAAAATCAACACGTTGTACCCCTTGTTAATTTGTCATTTTAAAAAAAAAGGAAATGGAGTGGGTACAAAGGGCAACAATAGTGTGAGTAATCGCAGGAGAAGAAAAAAACCAACCAAGTTACTATTTCCGTTTGAAATGTTTTTACCCTCTTGAGCTTACCCGGTCCAGTCGAGACAGGCCACATTAAACGCGAGTAAAAATCGTGTCACCGGCGGGTGGTTCAAAGCTTTCCTCACGCCCTCGTCTCCCGTTGCTGGCAGTCGCTACTAAACACTGTCACAGACCTGTACAGCTACATGCTGTTTATCCCCCTTCCCGACTCGACTGGTCTTCTGGTGGTTTATTACCTCCCCTGGCAGGGCTTATTTATAGCCCATTTTTTTTCTCCCATGTTTTATTTCTCGATGCCCCTTTTAAATCCGAGGAAGGGTGGGGGTGGGGTTAAAGATTGAACAGGGCTGTAAATCAGGTGAGGGTTAAGCAAATACTTTTTTTTTTTAAAACTTAAACAAGGGTTGGGGTAGTGGGGGAGGTTGTGAAAGAAGGGCCATAAACAAAGAAATAAATAAAATTGTAAAGTGTCAGTTTGGATGCAAGCAATACATTTGCCCAGTTGTCAGCCAGGTGGGTGGTACTAGTGTACTTGCTGGGCCCTAAGCTATGTACTAGTGTACTAGCAGGGTCCTAAACATTGTACTGGTGTACTAGCTGGACCCTACCCTATGTACTAGCAGAAACCTACCCTATGTACTAATGTACTTGCAGGACCCTAACCCATGTATTAGCAGCAGAAAGATCCCATGTACTAGCTGGACCCTAACCTATCAGTATTAATTAAACTAACCAAGTTTTATCTTAGCTGGCCAAAACAAACAAAAAACATTGGATATAATTTTAAGTAAAATAAAACCTTTAAATTGTGAATGGGAACATACTAAAAAAAAAACATCCAACTTTGACAGTTTAAATTCTGCTGTTATGTTAAAACAATCTTTTTTTTTATAGCTGAAAGAAATATTTCAGACAGGTTTTATTGTCAGGGGTTGAGTGTTAATTTCTTCAGGTTATAACCAGGTGTTGTGGAGGATTTATATCTGTAGGTGACTACCTAGTGTTGTAAATGTTGGGGCAGTTAACATGTGTGAGGGTGTACTGGAAGACACAAGGGTTGAGTGTTAGTTTCTTCAGGTTATAACCAGGTGTTGTAGAGGATTTATATCTGTAGGTGACTACCTAGTGTTGTAAATGTTGGGGCAGTTAACATGTGTGAGGGTGTACTGGAAGACACAAGGGTTGAGTGTTAGTTTCTTCAGGTTATAACCAGGTGTTGTGGAGGATTTATATCTGTAGGTGACTACCTAGTGTTGTAAATGTTGGGGCAGTTAACATGTGTGAGGGTGTACTGGAAGACACAAGGGTTGAGTGTTAGTTTCTTCAGGTTATAACCAGGTGTTATAGAGGATTTATATCTGTAGGTGACTACCTAGTGTTGTAAATGTTGGGGCAGTTAACATGTGTGAGGGTGTACTGGAAGACACAAGGGTTGAGTGTTAGTTTCTTCAGGTTATAACCAGGTGTTGTGGAGGATTTATATCTGTAGGTGACTACCTAGTGTTGTAAATGTTGGGGCAGTTAACATGTGTGAGGGTGTACTGGAAGACACAAGGGTTGAACCAAGTGGGGCACCTCGGTGTTTATGATCAGAATACATGCACACAAACTGGCACTCCCATGTGGGGTTTATAGCTACTACAGGAATATAAGAGAAAAGGTTGAGTAAGAAATGTTAAGTTTACCTGCTGAATGCCATGTGGCACCTGGTGTATGGCAGTTAAAGACAAATAAAGCTTACATTTTTATGGCAGAGCCAGGTGTGCTGCCCGGGCAATCTGTCACTGGAACTGGTTTTAATCCCACAACCCCCACCCCTCTCGACCACCACACGCCCACCACACACGTGTTTCTGTTAAGGAAATGCAGGTTTTAAAATACCTGCACAACCTTGTTTAAATAAACTTAAACATTTTTTTTGTATTTAGACAATAGTTTTAAGATAACAGGTATCCACCTGCAAGTATAAAAGAACGTTATCCCGACTGTTTAATCTAAGTATAACTTTGATAGCCCATTAAATGAAAAGCAATAGCAATATAAATTGCATGCTTTTCCAGCTTTTTCTATGTATTTTCCCTAGTTCTGTATAGTGTAATACAGTGTAAAAACTTTGTTTGTTTCATGCTTTTTCCAGATTTTTCTCTGTATTTTCCCCTGTTCTGTATAGTGTATTATAGAGTAAAAACTTTGTTTGTTGCAGGACTGACAACCATGTGGTCAGCATCTCTATCTCAGCCTTGTCCCAGCTACCTCACCTCCAGAGTCTGGACCTCAGCAACAACCTCATCTTGAGCATCACTAATGGAAGTTTTCCTGGCCCCAGTAAACTCACTCATCTGTAAGTCACTGCCTCATCACACTCTGGATGAATCACTTCCTGCCCCACTCACACTACACTTCAACTCAAGCAAATCATCTTAGTATTGTCTAATTACTAATGTTACTCTTAACCTTCTATGTGATAACATCATGGATTCAAGTATATAAAAAATAGCTTAAATTGTTGTTGTTTTGTTTTGTTTGTTTTTTTACATTTTCAAAAACATTTATGAAAATTTTAGCATGATAGAATGCAATGGGTGAACTGTTTAGAATGATGTAGTGGGTGTCTGTCAATTTTTGATTTTGTTGTGTATAAAAGTTATAGTAGAAATGATAAAAATGCAATGGGTAAACTGTCTAGAATGATGTACACTCAGTTCAATGAGGTAGTAGATGTATGTCAATGTTTTTGATTGTGTTGTGTATAAAAGTTATAGTAGAAATGATAGAATGTAATGGGTCAACTGTCTAGAATAATGTTGTACACTCAGTTCAATGACGTAGTAGATGTATGTCAATGTTTGGTTTTGTTGTCTAAACAGTTATTGTAGAAATGATAGAATGCAGTGGGTAAACTGTCTAGAATAATGTACACTCAGTTTAATGTTGTTGTAGATGTATGTCAATGTTTGATTGTGTTGTGCAGCAACATGGACAACAACCAGATAGCTGCTGTGGAGATGGGAAGCATGGCCAACCTAACAGCTCTGCTCACCCTCAAGCTCAACAAGAACAAGCTCACGGATATCACACCTGGGGCCTTCATAGGCATGAACGTCTTGAAAACTTTGTGAGTACCTTGTGTGTGCATATGCTTCAAATGTGGTGGTGGGGGGGGGGGGGGGGGCACTTAAACCTCGGACCTTCGTTGATATGAACAATATTGTATACAATAGATCATATAGTATCATAATTCCTCTTGATACAGTCATAACTTTTTTTAAGAGATCGCACAGTAAAAAGTTATGTATATTTGATGGCACGTTAAATAGTCATGTTATGTATATGTGGCGGCAAGCAACCCCCAAATATTACTTCCCAAATCAACATGTAGTACCTTTCTCAAATAGATCTATCTACCCATAACTGGGCCATGCCACTAAAGCCAGTTAGTAACTTCTATACCATTTGTTCTGTCTAGGGAGTTGATGAGGAACAAGATCAAGATTATTAGGTGGAAGACATTCCATGGACTCAAAAGGCTGACCTCTTTAAAGCTCAAGAAAAATGAGATCTCGATTCTTCGTGATGGCGCCTTCTATAACTTGTCTGTTTTGAGAAACTTGTAAGTGTCAGAGTGTAGTCATCAGGTTAACAGAATTAGAGTTAAATTATTATTTATTTTTATCCTAACATGCATTCTAACTTCTCCTCAATTTTGGATGTCTAAATTTGCATCTAACTTTTATTAAATTTTGTGTTCACCAGACAATTGGACAATAACAATTTGGTCAACATCACAAAGGCTTGGATCTATGGTTTACAGAGGCTGAAGATATTGTAAGTACTTGGATCTTTGTTTCTTTTTCTTCTAAACCATCCCTGGCTGTATGTATCTTTAAGGGATAAGTTTATTCTGTTTGTTGAGCTACAAGTTTTGTTTGTTAATCTTAATTGGCTGAGACACAATAATACATTTGTCAGCTACCATATAGGCCTACATGGTAAAGAGGCCAAGAACATTTTAGTACTATTTGTCATACAAGACTATCATAAACAGTAGTTCAACTTGTAGAACATATTTTGATATGGTTTTTACAAGGTGTTACCTACTGTCAGTGTGATTAGACCAAAATATATAATCAATGAAAGTTTTGTTTTGTCTAATTCCAACACTCTTTTAATCATTCCCAGATCCCTGACTTACAATAAAATAGACCACATAGAAGCAGATGCCTGGGAACAGTGCAAGAATCTTGAAAAACTGTGAGTACCCTCCACTTTTATTTCAGATGTTGTCATGAGGGGTGAAAAAAAAACACAATTTTTTTTTTTTTTTAACTGCTGTGTAGTTTGATTTACTTTTTTTCCATTAGTCATTCAAGGGAGTTGAATTTTGTATTTAAAAATCCATGAATCTTATCTTGCTTTCCTTGGTCAGGCAAGGGGAGTTAAGTATTTAGTCGTATTAAAGCCATGAATCAAATTCTCCATCACTTGGTCAGGCAGGGGTGTTGAGTATTTAGTTGTATTTGATAAGCCATGAATCAAATATCCCCATCACTTGGTATTGGCACTGAGTTCCGAGTGCTGTGAGATACTGGTGGCACCTCACCCCCTAGTGACATGATGGCTGCACGCTGGTGATGAATGCCTGCCAAACCTTTTCACTAGAACCCACAAAATTTATTGACCAGGGGCTGTCTCTTTCAGACCCAAATGGTGCATCTTCTTTTGTGCAATGTCCTGGGGTAGAGGGGTGTTGCCCAGATTTATGTTAACATACTTTGTTTTATCATACTAATCATAGCAAGAAAAAAAACCATGCTACTGAACTTTTGTCAGAAACAACTACCAGCATTTATATAAATATGATATAGATAGATAGATGCATAGATATATTTATATATTTGTATCCTTTCTTTTTTATTAGTTCTTGACATTCTGACAAAGGCCTTTTGCTAACACATCTAAAAGAGAGGTGTCTGTTTCATTTATATCCCCCCCCCCCCCCCCCCCCCCCCCCCCGCTTTAAAAATTTGGATCATCTAAAATTCTATACAGTGTTTAGTCTTTCAACTTCCTTCAATACAGAGATGATGCAATGTGTTAGTGTTATATAACAAGAAATTGATCAGTAATCCAGTACTATTCTTTGGTCCTATTCAGTGTGGGTATTGAAGGTTAGAATTAAAGATGCTATGGGGAAAAAGATGCCTGCTCCTCAGCCATCTAAACAAACATTGAACCCTCCAGGTCCCCGGGTAACCCTTCTCCACCATTGATAAACTGTGATATTTGTACATCTAAATGCTCCAGCAACATTCCATCTTTTAGGTGGCTCTTTCTTCTTGGCTTGCCCTATAGCATTTCGTCAGGGGACTTCACCCCTTTGCTCTTCGTCTACCCTATATTTACCATATTTCTCTTCTTTAAGCTCCGTGCTTGAATAAATTACATCCAGATATAGATAAGATATAGATGTGAGTAAACACACATATATATATATGTATTTGTATACATATATATGTGTGTATGTGTATATATATATATATATATATATATATATATATATATATA